TAACTTAGTTTTTTGCATCGAGTATACAACCAGAAACAGAGACGAAATGTCATTTAATTTGTTTAAAAACTATTCTGCCAAGTCATTACGATGACAACCGATTAGCCATCAATTGATTTTCTTCAAATCGACTAGTTAAACTTGAGCTGACTTGATGGGCGAAAATTGAAAAATTACATATTTAATATTTACTTACTGATGAAATAGATGTTTTGCTGTTTTACCCACACCACCGAATGGAACAGCCCCCCTTTGTTAGAGATATACAATAAATACGGAATATTTTTGGAATATACGGAGACGTAGACACAGGTCAGTTGTTGGCGCTGTACTATTTCAGCTTTCTAATTTGTGATTTCAGCGCAAACGAGAGTTGATATTTAAAATTGATGTAAGGCCCATTTGCCTGATGACTTGCCAGGGATGGAAGGCTCTTATTTCTGATTATATACTCGATGGTTTGGTACAACTGTTGTAAATTAGTTTGTCCGAATTTCTTACCTTTATATTCTGAAAAAACGTACATACAAAGCAACAGTAGGCATGTTAAGAAAGAAGGATGGCGACATCCCGTGTATTTTGTGACCCAGTGTTTTTGACTACGTTCATTAAGGAGACCTACCCATACTTGTGATTCATTATCAAAGCATCAAAAAAGCTAATTGAGTACAGCCTGTAGAAGCTGGGGTTATAAAGTTGATATAGGTTAAGTTTATAACATAGTCCTGTATTTCGCTTCAGATGTTTGTTCGTAGTAGCAGAAAGCAACAAGTTTTCAGTTTGCTCCAAAAAATAATACAGAACTTGCTAAATATTCTCAAGTCTGCCAAAACTCTGCCACATTTGATATAACTTATCATGTTCTGCAGCAATGAAAATGAATAAAACTTAAATTTGCCCAAATGGCAGAAATCTGCCACAAATGGGCACACTGTTCTCAATATCAATGTGACATTGACATTGGCAAGAGGTCTCTTGTCAAAATGTTCCTTTCCAATTTTCATTATCTCACATTTAAATATTGTCTAAACATTATTGAAACGTTGTGTTTTATTTTTTCCTTTATGTCATTACTGTTTAATTGTTATTTCATTAGGTATTTTATAGCTTTAGTGTTTTATGTGTGCACTATAAAATAACCAATACTTCAGATAGGTAAACATCATGCTTAAAATCAAACATACGTACAAGAACGTTACCTAATCTATAATCGAACTGAATCAATTGTGTTGAGTTTTATCATCTATTCTAAAATACAATGTTTTGCAATTTTGTTTATTCCCGACTTCTAAAAATATACAAAAATATATTAATAACAAGGCGTAAACTAAAACGCAAAATTATACTAGCAAAGTCCATGAACGACTCTTCGTAGTTAATGGGGCAGCTTTCGCCATCCTTCTTTAAACAAAGGTTTACACGATTCTCGGGGTCCTAAACTATACATTCCTCTGGCGACTCAATTAAAGATAAGACATAAGAAAGAATGCATAACTAAAGAGTGAAGTACACAGAGAGCGGATGCGGGTCAGGCGCGAGTCGGGTCGGGTCCGTGGCGGGTCTAATTCCGTGTGTTTATATCGACAATCACACGACAATCCACCCGCACCCGCTGTGTGATTAAACGATGGGTCATATTAGCGAAGATGTTCTTTTTAATTTCTTTATAAATTGATTTCTCTATAATTTTTTAATATGAATGATAAATGAAATATTTTTATCCCGTAGTTATCACACAGCAACATTAAACTACCGTTGACCGAGTTAGGGATGTAAGGGGGCACACACCATCACAGCTCTTATTGTCAACCTCACCTGCACGCGGTACATCCTGCAGTAACCGACGAGGCTCTGGCGACCGGTAGTAGGCGGTATAGCCCTTCCCCACATTGGCGCTGTCAAATCTGCTGGCTACCGACGGGCAGCAGCGTCGGTAGTACAAAGGCAGCGCCCTGCGATCTCCAACCCGCATGCCCAGCTTGGAGATTATGGGCAATAACCCCCTTCATGGACGGCACAACCAATCGAAGGCCCCCAGTTCCCGGTCGCCCCGCTATTCCTGGTCACGGTAGCGGCCATGGTACCGGCGGGGTAGGGGGTGCTAAGAATCCCCGGGCTACCGCAGGCTACCAAAAACAACTGACCCTGGCTACGTTTAACGGACGAACTCTTAGGCTTGACGAACACCTTGCACAGTTGGAAGTGGAACTGGAGAACATTAGATGGCATGTTCTGGGGCTGTGTGAAGTCCGAAGAGAGGGAGAGGACACCATAACCCTAGACTCGGGCCATCTACTGTACTTCCGCGAGGGTGATCAAACATCCCAAGGTGGTATAGGATTCCTCGTCAACAGAGTCCTCTCTATCTATATTATCTCATATTATCTTTTAGCATTACCGCCTTCCAGTTGTAAGGGTAAGTAAGGGTGATGGTAAAGTTACAGGAGCTTGTCAACTTACGTCTCAGGGTGGCACAGTGGCAGTATCCCTCAGATCTCTGTGATTTAAAGCTCTGAGTGGCACTGCAACTGTTATGGACAGGCGTGTCGCTCACCACCAGGCGCATGATTTGGTCGTCACTTAGTATTATAAAAAAAAAATATGTTTTAAAAGTTCGTTTATAATTTGCCTACGTATCATAGTCCCACTGCTGTGCACAGACCGCCTCTCGCCTACTCTGAATTGGGAACTTCATACACATTGCTTACCAGATGTGTGCAGGTTTTATCACGATGTATTTCGTCAACGAAAAATTCGTGGTAAATTTCAAATGAAATTTCGTACATAAATTCCGAAAAACTTAGAGGTGCAAACCCGGATTCAAACTCACGACCCTGTGCTCGAGAGGCGGTAGGTCAAATTTTGTAGGCCATTAGCCTATCACGGCTTTACAGTTCGTTACAAGACGCGAAAACTATTTATTCCATTGACGGATGTTATGGTTTTACGTGCTGATAGCTTGATGTGCTCGTTTCATGCAATTTTTTGCGAAACTTAGAAAACTTTCTTTAAAATGCGCACCGTTTGGGCAGAAACAATTCAGAACGTCTAGGCCAGAGTATTGTCCGTGCCATGTTCAAATTTCAATAAAGTATACAGAGCTCACAGGACGAATAAAAGCGTTTTAGAAGTAAACAACATCACTAACATAATTGTTGTTTATTTTATCTGTTTAAAGATTTATCACGCTAACAACAATTTATCGACCTGACCTTAAAAATGGAAGACGGCCCTCGTAATTTTTTCTTTCACCCCTCATTTGTATCGATTCCCTATACGGGGTGATTAGAAATTAGGCACGTTTTGAGAATTAAAGAAAAGTCAAAGGTTAGATTGACAGGTTTTTTTATAATACCAAGTGACGGGACGAACAAGTCGTACGCCTGGTGGTAAGCGACACGCCTATCCATAACAGTTGCAGTGCCACTTAGAGCTTTAAATCGGTAAGATCTTGGGGGCACTGCCACTGCGCCCATCACCCTGAGACATATGTAAGTTGACAAATCCCATGTGTCTGGAAGTAAGCGACAATCCTGTTCATTACAGCTGTAGTGTTATTCAAAAGCTTTAAATCACAAAGATCAGAGGGTCACTGCGCCCGTCACCCTGATACATAAATTACAAAGTCCCATGTGCCCGCGCCCATACCCTTCAAAACTGAAACGCAGTAATGCTGACATTACTACCCTGGACGAACTGTATCACAAGAAGCTCGACTGCTACTGTGTCTTAAAAGGGTTAAAGCATTCATTCTAGGGTTACTGTACAGTGCCTAATTTTTATCGTTATCGTGAAATATAATTGTTAGTATCAGGATCTCAGCTACGACTACCTATTTACAGCCTTTGGAGTCGAAACCCTTGGCCCGTGGGTACCCAGTGCCCTTCATCTGTGCAAAATTTTATCAAAAAAATAAATAGACTGTCTGGGAAACCCAAGGTCACGGAGCGAACTAGCGGACCTCACGAATTTTTGTATGTGCTTGCGTCGTATCTTTGTATTTGGTTTTTTCAACGACTTTTTAGTCGTAGCGCCAAGCTTGTTGCTTAGTTGGTATAGCGTCTGGCACGGTAAGCTAGAAGACGTCGGTTCGGATCCGACCGGATCGAAGGAATTTTTTATGAGTGTTCGATCTTTGTATGAATAATTATAACAAACTAGTGGAATAATTTCACAAAAAAAATTGACTATCAATTCCATTGACTTACAAATAAATGGACGACGGGTCTAATACAAAAACCACGAAAAAAATGTCCCAAGTCAACCTATTCGAAATTTAAATTGTAATTTCATCGCAGTATCGCGCTGTCAGTCGAACAAATGAAGACTAAAGCGGAGTTTGGCGCTCTGTATACGATTTTAGCGCCTTACAAGTGCGGACACTTTTTAGCGCGGACCCGACGTCCATATAATTGTAAGTCAATGATCAATTCAATAAAAATTTAAAATCCTAGTTTTACTTTCCGATAGATAAGCTTCTATTGTATTTTTTACCAAAACAAAAACAATACAGTTTAAGTATTATTTGATATTCTAGTATATTCTCGTGGAATATTCTTTGATATTCGGATATATTATCGAGAAGTATTGGTTAAGCACACAAGTGTATTGTCGTGAAATGTTGTTTAATCATTCGAGTATATTATCGTGAAATAAAAGGAATGAATATTTTAGTATCTACTGTATCGCTGCACATAATGTAGGCATTGCATAAAGCAAAAAAGTAAATTGATATTAATACAAAGACTACATAAACACAAGGATTAATTTCCTCTATCCGACTGGATTCGAACGAGTACCTGTTTCCCAGACCGGGGCTAACAAACAATCACGCAATAACAAATAACCGAAAAATACAACATGAAACTAATGGTGTATTGTTACAAAAATATGAATATCACAGTAATAAAAACATGATATTCATTAAAATAAACATTGGAAAAAAATATTTCATATTTCGTTTTACTTCTGAAATAACCGCGTATAAAAATGCAACTTACCGATCAGTGTCAATGCCACAATGCGACAAGACAATAATAATGTTTACTCTTTGTGCGTTCAGTTTTTCAGCTTCACGTCTTACGGTTTCCACTTCGTTTGTGAATTTGAGATCACCAGTTGAAGCCAATTGCTGTAAAAATGAGTTATCACACTTCTTATTAAAGCGGAATCAGATTGAAACGAAAAAGTTTTCTGACCTTGCAGTAAGAGTGAAAAAATTTAACTACCGCGGCCAACACGAAATATTTTTAACCGACTTAAAAAAAGGAGGTGGTTTCCAACTCGATTGTATGTTTTTTTTCTGATATTAATGATTCTTTTTTTGTTAAAAAGGGGGTACCTCAGATGTGGTTCCATTTAAATTTGAAGAAAATGTTCCACCTCTAAGGGTGGCAAACTAGGGGATGAATTACTTTTGAGGTCGGTTTTTTTAGTACTCCGTACTGTTTTTTCGCACTTATTACGTGGACAAAGCTTTTCTGATCGGCTTAATGCAATTCTGTGTGAATATATGAAGTGACTTCCCGATCCCGACTACCGATACCTCCAATGAACATCTAAAAAATTAAATTTAATAATATAATTATTTTTAATAAATAATTAATATTAAGTTCCTGTATGTAGTGTTTTTAATTTTTATTGAATTGATATTCAATTTTTTTTTTAATTATTCCACTAGTTTCTTATAATTAATTATAATAATTGTTATAGTTAATTTGGTATAATTACTACAAAGATCGAACACCTTGTAGTGTTTCTTAGGATCGTATTCTAGAACTCTACTTAATGCTCAAGCTAGGATTTGAGTATGATTTAAAGCACTCGAAATCATACTCAAGTCCCTGCCATTAGGGTCGTATTTCCAGTGCTTGAAATCATACTCTGATCCTGGCTTGAGCAATGAGTAGAGTTCTGGAATATGACCCTTAGTGTATTCTGTTGCCATCTTATTTAAATTATTTGAGTATGTTAATGTGTCAAAAATTTGAATTTAGTTTGTGATAGTTGTTTTGCCGTCAACATTTATAAGTGTTATGGTTACAATATGGAACACCCAAGTCAAATAAGTGAAAATGTATTGTGAACATAAAGTTACTGTTGCTAATAAATAAATAACACTTAATTTTTCGATAATTATGCTATGTTTTTATTTTGTTTTTCGTTTCTTTGTTTCACAAAATTTTATTTTTAGTTTCGTTTTTTCGATATTTTTTTTTATGCTTTTTAATTTTTTTTTCACAAAATTCTGGGAGCATAATATTAGTAAATGAATATGGCTGTTTACGAGAATAACAGAAAATGACCAAAAAATACAGTTGGTATAGCGTTCATTGGACGTATCGAAACGTTATTAAATTTTTAATTTTCGAAGTTTATCATTTTAGCTATTTGTGCCAAGAACAAGTTTTAAAGTGCAAAGAGGAAACTTTGGCAGTCAACTGCCCTACTGGGCACAAATACTACACTACGACACAAATATCTTCAATCTATTTTTATCCTAACACTATATTACTAACAATGAAAACTACTTTTGTTCCGTGACTTTTAATAAATTATTAGGTTTTACAAAAAAATGTATACTAAACGGTGATATCTCTGTGCGGTAACAAAAGAAAGCGATAGCGTAAATACCAGTCCCCAGTCCGATGCAAAACACAGGAGCACAGCGGGGGGGACGTCGGTGTCGACACTTGTACGTTTAGTTTGAACTTAATACCACTGGAAATGAAACTATTTAAATCGCGTATATTTGTTTTTCTAAACAAATCAACGTTTCGGGCACTTGACAGTCAACCGTGACCATGGGACCTATACGCGACAACATAACAATCGGGAAAACCTATGAACTCTATATGCTGCCACTGGTTAGGTTACAGGCAAATACAGATTTAAGTCAGATAGTACAACAAAAACATAAAAGTTTCATCATCATAATCGTATCAGCCGAAAGACGTCCACTGCTGAACATAGGCCTCCTCCAAAGATCCATCGGCTACCCGCCGCCCTTACCAGCGGTCATCCGTCCATCTAGTAGGGGGCCGTCCCACAGAACGCCTTCCTTCACAAAAGTTTATTTTTGGTAAATTTATTATGTTTTATAAATAATCCTGCATTTTACAAATAACCCTGTATATTGTTTATTCGATTAGGAATTTTATTATCTAATACTTACATCAGTAGTAGCGATGATGACTCCAATAATTCCAATTTTGCGTTCACCTCGTTCCACAATCACGCTGGGCTTGTACAAGCCTTGTATCGTTGGTTCATCGTCGTCTATAATATTAGCAGTAACCACGGTTGAATTCAACGCTTTGAGATAAGGGACTACACCTTCGATGCCATTGTCGAATTCATGATTGCCTAGTACCTGCAAACATAGAGTTCCAAAAGATCTTTCTAAAATTTACAACTGTAACTAAAATTAGTTCCGGCCGAATAGTTTATCTTGAAAACTGTCAGCGATAAATGAGCAGAAAAGAAACTTAACGTATTTCATTTAATCCTACAGAAACTCAGGTGTCTTTATATTAGAAGTTTATAGAAGCGCTACAGTAGCCCCACAGTGGTACTACTACCCACTACTCATTTTCATAAAATATTATATGCGCTCAGGCTCTTAGTTGCAGCGCCACTGCGGTGACACGCGCTCGCCACTTTTGCAGTCACAATTAGTGAAGTAAATTTTACTGAAGCGCTACAGTCGCTTCTATAAGCGGCTAATTTGAAAGCGCCCTCAAACTCAAATAATCTTTTTTTCCGTACTCTAGCAAAGAACACTTGAAACTCGTCACAATAATAAAACTACTACTTATTTGTAAGGTAAATTCCCCTGCGAAGAATGAGTAAGCAACTCTAGGGGTTGTTTTTTGTAAAATAAATTAGATCAAGACGTGATACGTGACGAGAGAGAGAAGTAGATCTACAGGAGGGTTGATCGCCGATGGAGCAGACTTGTTCTAGAGTGGCGGCACAAGACCGGGAGAGTTGGTGTGCTCAAGGGAAGACTTATGTCCAGCAGTGGATCAAGTAAGATCAAGACAACTTGCAAGAGTCAAACACGTTACTACCATGGATTTTTGTACAAGAAGCTTGAGTTTCACTATAACTTAATATATTAGAGTGTGTCACTATAACCTGTGTTATAATAATCAAAGAATTTCCTTAAAACGCTTGTATTTGAGGGTGTATTTATCGACGTGTTAACTATAATGTCAGCGCCTCCAGTGAAAAACGGATTAAGACGAGTTATGCCCTTTTGTTTTTATAACACCATTGGCTTCAACATGATCGACTACATAACATATCAATAGGACATCTCTCTAGAAGTCTTCTAACGTCGTTTTTCTTATTGCATTAAGGGCGTAACTCACTGTTTTTAAAAGGTATAATTTTAGTTATCGGTAATTTTTACGAGTCTAAAGGTACAAGTGGTCTCAACTCAAAACATACATGCAAGTTTAACGACTAAATACAAATATATTTTTACATAAAGACACTTTTCGTATTGTTTCGTAATGACTAGGAAAAAAATAGGACTAAAAGCGACTATTGCCTTATTGCACAGTGTACATGAGCGTATAACTGATCATTCCGTTTGTTCCACTGGACAGGATTGGTCATACCCGCGACTATACCGTGTTGCTATTGGTTCGCAACAGAAAACTTGTCGTTTTATTCCTTTAACGATTTTATGTCTTTTATCAACGTGGTAAGTATCGTAAGTATTGTTATAGCTATAGAACAGCTACGGGAATGAGTTGAATTATGTCTTAAAGTTTGTTAACATACGTCGTGTTATTACCGTTAAGAATTCATAAACAAGGACGCAACTCGAAAATAACTTAAAAAATATATAGAAAATATGACTAAATGCTTAACCAATACTCATTAAACGAAAGCATAGATGTATACCTAAAGCTAGAAATCATAAAAAGCACTAATAATAAATGTGATCAGCCAATAATCAATACAAGAATGGTTTTTTGCCTCTCCTGAAAAGTGTAGATTTTGAGTTGTTCCCTTTTTCACTGGAGGCACTAATATATCACGCGTAAAGATGTCGAGATTCGGACACCAGCCCGCTACACCACACCAAACCGTAACTGACAATACACCTACATATTACACGGACATACTGTTATGGTCCGGTCATATTTTTAACCGACTTCAAAAAAGGAGGAGGTTCTCAATCCGATTGTATTTATTGTCGTGTATGGTACGCGATTATTTGTGAACCGATTTTATTGATTCTTTTTTTACCGGAAAGAGGGTACCTCAGTATTGGTCCCATTTAAATTTGAAGAAAATATTCCACCTCTAAGGGTGGCAAATTAGGGGATGAAGCCGCGCACTTTCCGGTAACCGATTGTCAACTTTGAACTCCGTTCCTTTTTTTTTAAATAAAAAATATCATTTAACAAGTTGAAAATAGATATCTTGTGCAGGTCGATAAAGAATGTGATACATGGACCTTCGCCACTGATACTTAAGAACGTACGTGAGCATCATGGGGTAGCATGTTCATAAAGTCTTGAGTAACATTCCATCTGAGGAGGTTGTACCATATGGTTCCCTGAAAACTGTCCCCGCCGTTGAGCAGCAAAGAATCGGGCTCCCGCTCTAGAGACTGGCGAACAACGGTAGCCAAGCGTGCGAATCCTCCAATACAAGGCGCTACACTCGGGTTGCACACGGTACCACTTGGACTTGTTTCAACGAACCTGTGAAGGCAATAATAGTTTATTTATTACGTTGTAACTTGAGTCTCTAATTCCGTCTCACTAGGAAATACCGCCTGAGTCGCTTAAAAATTAAAAATTATCTTCACGTAAGAGGCAAGAGTCTAAATTAATTTCCAAAATAATAATAATGATAGTAAGACATTTATCCATAAATCCAATTAGAAATGAAAAACCGATCTCAGAATTTTGCGGAATTTCATCTATTTGACAAGTTTTATTGAAATCAACCGATGGGGAAAGTGTAAGTTAAGTTTCAACAAAACAGAATCTACGAAATCGGTTCACAAATTATCGAAGTCGAACTGAGAACCTCCCCTTTTCTAAATCGGTTATAAAGTTTAATAAAGAACTTGATCAAGGTTCAATCTGAAAGCAGCAAGTATTGCTAAGACTTCATCCTTTTCATCAAGATTAGATAGACTTCGTATCGGAAATATAACAGAATCTAGTGTTAAGGTGAGTCCCCAGAGCAGAAGCGGCAAAAAGTGTTTCTCCAGATGGTTTAATAATAGGGGTTAAAGTATGCAATTGCCGATTTGTACTGAAAATCTAAATTGTTTATTTTTTAAATTT